ACTTCCATTGCATGACATTTTGTTTTCCACTACTGTTCAGCACTTAAAAGGTAAGAATTTTAATGTGTTCTTTAAATTAGTATCAGTGCCTTGCAAATTCAAGTAAGAAATGGATTAACATTTTTTTAAACAAGGAAGTATTTATTTTTGTCTACTACAAAGCTAAAGACTGAGTCAGCTCTAAGACTTATTTAGAGCACCTAGAGGTTTTAAGACAGCAGGTTCCATAAAAATATTCTCCTCTCCATGCTATACTAACTTCTGCGTGCCTACTAATCCAGACTTTGAAGTTGTGCTCTACTTAATCAAAAAACATTACTCCATAGCAATAGAAGAAAACGCTGTATCTGGTGTTTCAGTAACCAACTTCTAGTGTGTACGTATTATTATATCAACTATCCCATAGTGATGCAAAGAAAATGGGCTTTTAAATACCAGCAGCAAGACTTAACCATGTTTTCTGTCCGAGCTTTTCTTCAAGAGATCATTCTTATGCAGATACAATGGCAAGTCTAGACATGCAAGCGGTTGCTAAAGAGCATTCAAAAGGAGAATTAGAACATTTTAAGCCCCTTCGTGTCAGTGCCAGCAGCTGAACAAACCAGAACCCTGACAGCCCTGGAGGCTTCCTCACAGCATAGAGCCACCCTGCCTCGCTTAATAATCTCCCCTAGCAGGTAATATTCATTCTGAACAATTATTGCCCATTATTTCTTTGTCAGAGGCAATACAGCCTCCGAATACCTAAAGGTCAATCCTCTCACTGAGCATTTGGTTATTAGCCAAACATGATTTCTTCTTTTTCTTTTTTTGGGGGGGAGTTTCTGATGCAGCCAAAAAAAAAGTAAGCCAAGTCTTGGCTACTTTTAAAATTAGAAATAGAATAAAAATTGATTGAAAACTTTTTCCTTACAGGATTACTACCTGGTTCTACAGATAAGATCTGTCAACATATTTTGCAGGCATTTTAATTAAAAGCTGTAAGATTTTTCCAGAAAGTTTTTTCCAAGTAATCTTTGCTCCCTCTCAAATCTGTGAGATTTAAAAGCACATCTTTTAGTCTTCCCACACCAAGTACTTCGAATCCTAATTTTGAAAGTGTTGGTCTCATGTCTATCAGCATTTTTCCAACTAAACAAAACTTCTGCAAATTTTAGTAAAAACAAACATGAAAACCCCAAACTTCTATCCATTCCAAACATCTGCATCTCAAATAAAAAGGTTTACCTGTTTCCTTCATTTTCAAAAGACTCCCTTGGCAAACAAAACACACAAAACCTTTCAAACAGATTTTTCTTAGCAACCTACAATAGAAATTAATGTTGTCCGCTAATATGTATCTTAAGGGAGTAGTAATAGCATACAGAGTATTAGTATTATATTAACCTGAAGAACTGAGAGGCTGTTTCATACTACAGCAACAAGCTGCTATGCTGCACCTAAAGAACGTATTTAATACTCTCGTCTATGGGTGGTCCAAGAATTTACACTCAATCTAAGTCAGAGAAAGAAAAGGCTGAAATGTGAAGAAGCTCTTTTTTTCTTCAATAAGCACTTCCTAAAGTAGCCTGGCCAAGTCCAACACACGAGAGCTATTCTCTGCTATTCTCCAGAAGAGCAGACAAATGAAAATACTAGAAATTTTAAACAGATTCACAGACACTGCCTTCCCCATGCCTCCCAAAGGAACTCAAAGGTGCTACAGGTAAAAATGTGCTAGACTATTTACTATTGCTATCTTTTTGGCAACACACTGTAATTTTTACCCTTCCATAAAAGCGATTTTTTCCAAAGTGCTGAAAAACTTGGCACAATGAACATGGAACTTCTATGAAGTTCTATACAAAACATCAACTATGCAGACCTCTTTTTGTATTCACTGCCCTGTATTAACATAAAAGATACTTAGAAGTGGAAAAAAAGAGTAATATTTTGTCAATCTCAGGCACAAAATTATACATCTGAGATTAAACACTTATAATAGGCACAGTTTTTTGTTTTTGTTTTTTTTTTTCTTTTCAACTACAAAAAGAAGTCAAGGATTGGAAATTGTTGCTATGGGAGGTTTTCAAGACCAGTCTGGATAAGCCCCCAGCAGCCTTATATGACCTAATAGCTGACACTGCTTTGAGTAGGTTGGACTAGAGATCTCCTGAGGTTCTCTCCAACCTAATCATCCTATAATCCTATGAAAAAAATGCATGTGCACTTTCAAAATTCAGCAAAAATCCATCCGAAACACTAACTCCTACCTGCAAGGAATATAAAGGTCCAAGTTAGTAAGATAGATAAATGATGTCAACCTCCATAAGTGAGAATATCAGATCACCATCCATCCCTATCTTGGTACCTTATGAAGAAACTAGAAATGATCAAGGAGGATTATCTAACCATACTGCAGTAAACATGTCTAAATTCTGACAACTATACTTAGAACTTTCAGCCTCCCACATAAACATAAATTATACCATTTGGCATCAAATTACTCATTATAACCTTTTAAATTAGCTTTTAGCTGTGTACCATTTTTTCCTAAAACCAGTCTCTCTGTATACTAGAAACTATGTTTAAACAAAACTGTAATGGAAAAATATTTATCTTGGGGATTTTTATGTTTGAGTTTAGACATATGTAAGTAAAGACAGTGCTAAGCAGTATTGGAGTCCTACTATATACACACATTCATGGAATCTTACAAGCTTTAATCTGTTTCTTACATATACTGAAAATAGTCATATTCATTGCAAAATCTTGTGTGTAACACCACACAAATTTACAAGACGTTATGTCAACATCCTTTTCCTTGGAAGTAGTCTCTTCCATTAATTTAGTGCCTTAATTTCTGTAACAGCACTATTTCAAAAAATAATGTTGACTCATCTAATGAAGCACTACCAGGATGAGCTAGCAGGAGACAACAGGACCATGGGCAGAGAAAAAGGAGTAGCCTCCAGGATGAAAACAATGCTTTACAGAATGAAGATTTTGTTTCCACAGAAAGATACAGTCTGCTTCCTACAACCTACCTAATTCCACTGGCTTCACAGGATTTGAATTTAACACGATTAAAAGAGAAAAAGTCTCTTTTTGATTCAAAGAAGTCAAATAAAGCAATTTATAAAAGTCTCCACAAGAACTATGTGTCATTTAGATCATATTTTGAAGATCCAGATGCTACTTAGGCTAGGCATTGCTCTCTTTACAGTAATTGTTTTTCAGGTTTTAATAACCAGTTCTAAAAATAAAACATGTTAATAAAACACCATCATAATTTTCATCTTTGTCATACCCCAATGTCTTTCACACCAAAACAATTCAACTAGTACATACATGTTTCTAGCCATAAAAATCACTTGCAAGTCAAAACCTGTAAGAGCTACACATACAGAATATATCATGCCAAGCTACCATCCACTACTATTGATTATGACAAAAATACATGAGTCATCTTTATGAGAGGGTCATCCAAACACTTCATCTTCAATAGAATGAAAGAGTTAATTGCTGAAGGCTCTCCACAATTCTGTTTAAAAAAACCCTTCTCTCTCTAAATTAGACCAAGCCTTGAGCCACATCACCATTTGCTGAGCCTCTGTCCAAAATGCTTTAGTTATTGGCAATGCATTTAATCCTCCCCTGTTTGCACAGAAATTCATCTATGAGTCTGGCAAGAAAAGAGGTATTTCAGAATGAATGAATGCCAGAAGGTAGTTTATAGAACATCCAGTTCTCAGGCCCTAACAAACAAATTGTGTTATACTGCCTCCCAGTGCACAGCGTCTGCCTGAAGCTCAAATGAAAAAGGTTGAAGAATCCATTTTAGTCATGGAACTATCAACAATTCCCAAAGGAATTACAACTATCTTAGAGCCTGTTTTCAAAAGCATTTAGCATTTAAGTGGTTCTGAAAAATTCTAGACAGAAAATAATATTGAACTCTGGGATTTCATTTCACTTTAAATAAAGGAAGAAATTGCAGAAGTTAAAATGAAAACCAGGCAAATTCATGTGGTGGACTGCTTTTTTATTGAGTACTTGTACAACACCTCGCATAAAAAAGTCTTGGGACAAACCAGGACTTCTACATCGTAGATTGAAAGTCATTGACAAAACCCAAGAATTTTACAGCAAATAAAATTTCTCTAGGAAAAGAAAGAAGCATTTTTATAGTTTATACATAAGGTGATCCCAGCCAAAGCATTTCAAAGTCAAAAATAAACATAGATAACTGTTAATCTCTGTGGGCCTCATATCGTGTTCAGAAACACTAATACTTAGAGAATTCAGTCCTCCAAGGCTGACCATTCAAAACCCCAGTAAAAGCAATTTTGTAACTGTGTAAGTCAACATCCCAAAATGTTCATATCTAGCACCTTGGTTTTTTAATCAGTAACAAACATATCAACACTGATGTTCAGCAGAATTAATAACAGTCTAATACAGAAATTTAGTAAAGAGGCTTAAGTTCAATGTAATCACCATTTCCAATTCTTTCACAGACCATGAACACACAGCACTGCAGAAAAGTTTTTTTAAAAAAAAATCATTTAACAAACCCTACAGTTGAATTTTACTGGGAGAAAGAGGCAGGTGCACTTTCTAACATTTTTAGGATTAGCATTTTTCTTGCTGGGTCTTAAAAAAGTAGTAGGGTTAGTAAGCTGAAGTACAACTTATCTAAGTCTAACTTCAGCTACTCCTCTTGTGAGAAAGGTCAGACCTCTGAAACAAAAAGCAAGTGAATCAGTCAAAAATGAGTGAAGCAAGTGAACTTGATTTGCTCATTTGGACAGCATGGAAGAACCACGAACCTATGATCTAACCCTCAAAACCCCCAAAACGTGCTGTTTACAAAAACACTGTCACAAGCCAACCTTCTAAGAGCTGTTAGCAGAACGTTTGTAATTTAGCTTTAGACCTGCTAAACTGTTGTTTAGGGGAACTAATTAAATGAAAACAAATCAGATTTACAGATGAAAGGGAAGAATGGGAACACTTACAGCAGTTGGATCCTTTAAATGGAGCTGAGTTGCTGTCACTTGTTTGAAACCACCAGGATAGCTAGAAAAACAGAACAAACATACAGGCTTAACACTATGTGCTCAAGCATGATATTAACACCAATATCAATACATCTTGAACATCAGTGTATTGGTATTATAAGCCTTCAAAAAAGGAAGATTTTCTCACGAGACCGACTATGCAGTATTAGAAAGATTCTATTCTGTCAAGTATGCAAGTTTAATACCATTTGTACTTTCTTATTTATTCACTTGAGTATTGAAAAGTTTGTGTTTCACAAGCAGATAGATATAAAACTGCTTATTAAATACACCATCACAGCTACACAATACAATGGGAGTAAGATATGCAAAACTGGTAATATTTGAAGATGATCAAGGCACATAACCAGTCTGGCTGACATACAAGACAACCACTTTGAACAGTATTTATTTTCTTATTATTTTAAATAAACTTTGGCACGATTTGGCATATCTACAGTAATAAAATTTGATTTACACTGCAATGCATCCATCTTTTTAAAGTCTATGTGATATGGTGAAGTCGCACCAACTCATAACACACATACTTTAAATGAATGATACAGTGGTGCAAGAAATTACATGGATGTCAACTAAAGCTGGGTTTCATTTTGATTTAATTGCATTACTAGGTATCAGCCTAAGTGAAATAAAAATAAACCCAACATCATTAAAACATGTCCACTTAAGGAGCTGCAGAGATTTAAGTATTTGTTTTAATTCTACAATTCTTTTCACTTGCTCAAAACCAACTCAGCTACTTAAGCAAGTGCTTAAACTTACACACAAGTTTCTAGTGAAAATTTTTTAAGAAGTTATAGGGGTGGAGGGATAAAAAAAAAAGCACATTCATTTCCATCAACTCTGAACAAGAACCTCTCAGAAATTCAGCAATGGAATTTCAGGACTGAAACATTAGTACCAGCAAAATTAGCTTTCTCAATGTGATTTATTAATCTCCCAAGTGGATACATTTTAACACTTAGAGATTATTATCTAGTGTTGTCACTGTATAAAATAGGAGCAACTGTTCTTATTTGACTGAACTGATTATTGCCACAGCATCTGTAATTGGTTATTGTACTTCCATCTGTAAACGTTATGTCTGCCAGAATAATATATTATACACTATTGTATACATCTTAAGAGCATCTCATTTCTCACTCATTTTTCCAATTTCTTTTTTTTTAATCCTCTGATTCAATAATATATCAATCTTGATATTTACTGTTAGGTAAATAGGTACTGGTAGGATAATGTAATTAAATGTGCAGTGCCAATAGGAATGTCTTCTACTGCTTAGTAAATAGAATAGTTCTGATCATTAGGTTCATGGGTTCACACAAAACAACCTGGCTCACCAAATCTGTTAACTTACTTAATTGCTCTGACTACTTTTAAGTCAGATTATTTCCCTAACAACATACACCATGGGGAAAAAAAACAAAAGAAAACAAAAAAGAAAAAGGTTTGCATCATTTTAAACATCGTAACACATGCAAACAAACCCAAAAACATGTAAGTAGGAACTCCCTTTTGAATCAATATACTAAAAAAAGACTTCAGCTATTAAGAAAATATGACATTAAATTTACCACTAGCTCATCTGAATATTTATTACAAAGCTTACCCAGTATGTGAAGAATATACTTTCTGTTCCCATTTGTTGCCAGAGAAGGCAATATGTCTTGTATTAATTATGACAACATGATCTCCGCAGTCACCTACAAGGTAGAAATTAGTGGAAAATATTAAAAGAACGATAGGAGTAATCAACCAAAATAACTATAAAGTGTGCGATACATATGTAGTAGCACATACATACATATTTCATAAAGCTCATATTTAAAAATCTGAGCTTTTTGAGTCATACCATCCAAATCTGCACTTAAATACCAACCTTAATTATTATTTTTGTTAGTACTGTCAGGTTAGCAGGCAGGTGAGAAGGTAAAATACCATCAGAATAGATAATTAAACCACTGCAATTATTCAGCTAAGATCTGGAAATCTGGCTTACAAGCAAGCGCATCACTTTATTCAACACATTATACTGCATATGCACCTGTATTTCTAAAAACCCAGAATAAAAAAAGGTTAGTTCTAAACAGCTATCCTATGTATTTTTTTAATTTTAGTTTTCTCATAAAAATTGTACCAACATTTACTGGAGGACTGAATATTTTGGATAAGTAAAATAATTCTGTTAAATAATTAGAGCCTCAGGCTAAACATATAAAAGAAACAGAAAGATCGGGGGGGGGTGGGAGAAAAACCCCACAAAAAACCTAACACAGCTCTGTTGGGAAAAAAACCCACATTTTCATCAATCAAGCAGAAGTGAATGTTACAGCACATACAGATATGTTTAGTGTTATAGCAGCAACTTTCATATCAAAAGTTTTTTTAAGTCTATAATCTACCACCAATACCTTGCCAAAACCAGCTACTTTAACAGATCTTCTTTACTAATGAGGTGCTAATAAAACCCATACTATCTGAAAAATATGATGAAAATATGAAAAAAGATGTAATTTTTCATTTCAGAAGTAATGATCTTGATCAGCTGTGTAAACTATAACCACCCATTCAATCAATTGAAAAATGATTTGTCCAAAGTTCACTCTCATATGCATTACCATATTAGAATAATGTGTTTGAATAGGCTCATTTTATCAAAACATTTTTGAGTAGGTAACAAAGCAGCTACACTAAGAAAGACTTAAATTGAGCATGCATTTTTTATAGGAGCATATAAATTAATCAAGGCAAGTTTCACATCCTATTTGTTTTCTTCCATTTTTTAATCTTGTGTTCCTTTATAGCTCTACTTTCAAGTAGAGCTAAAGTGCAAACACGATTTAAACATCTTCACTGATGCAGCCTGTCAGCACTAACAGATCAGCTCTAAAATCACTGTATGTCTAAATAAATGTCACAGAACTGACACTGGACTTTGTGCCTTTTTTTTTCAGTTGGGAAGATTACAGAATAAGCTCATCTAAGGAAATCTTTGCCAACAGTTCTCTACTTGAATAAACACTGAATTAACAATTTCATACACCAATAGATCAATTATGAATAATAAAGAGCCAGCAGAAAAACTAACCAAGATACTTACATGCTACCTGAATAATGACTGCAACCTGTTCTTTTTAAAGTAGATTGAATTTAGGGATAGCTAATGTTTCCTTCAAAATTCCAAATTAGTACATTATTTTCCATTGATCCTTAAACAGTGTTGTTCCCATCACCTCAGGGATGGCTGCACTTAATAGGAAGAAAGCAAAAATATTCACCATCTCCACACAGTTCAATTGCCTCCTACTTTTGAAAAATATTCACAAAATACCATAAACGAAAACTCTTCCTTTAGGCTATTTTCATGCTATAATATCGAAGTATTCCTTTATGAATTATATAAGTATGTTTTCCTCAAGAAATGCACAAAACAAGGCCAGTATATTCTATTACATTATGGTATATGCAATTTGTTACATACAGCATATACATTGCACATCTTCAGATAAAACTAAGCTGCCACTGTAAATCCATTTTACATCTCTGTACATTTATAACTTCATTAATTCCCATCACACAGTAAAAACACATGCTTCAGGTGCATGCATTTTTCCTCATACATTTTAATTAAGCGCTAAATGGTAATTAAAGGTAGGCATTGTACTGTCAACTGTTAGCTCACAAGACTGACAAACTACTTGCCAAATCTTTCATTAGAAGACAAGTCTTAGCTGCTGCTTCTAGCCATTATAAACTAACATTGCAATCTAGAGTAACACCTGGGACAGACTGGGTTTGCAGGACACTTCCATCTAGCCTAGCCTTTGAGGATGCAGAGAACAGCAGCAAATCCTACCCAAGCGACAGAAGTGGCTCACCTACACCTGCTCACACTCCAACATAAAGAACGGATAGCCCAACTTTTTAAAAACCTGGCCCACTATTTTTGGTTCTGTATTGTGAAGCTGCTCACAAAGATAGGACGCAAGGGGCTGAGGGTAGAGAGAAGGGGAGGTGCAGAAGAAACCTACAAATCCAGATTCAAACCTCCTGAACAAGGTGGCATCCCCATATTTAAGGCATATGGTCTGACAGCATCTAAAAAATATAAAACTCTGGAGAATAATGAAAGATTATCCCTAAAAGAGAAAATAAATATACAGGAAATCAAATTTCTTTCCTTCCCTAACCAGGGCTTAAATTCAGCTCCAGGTACTTTTCAACACAATAAATAAATAATGATTTTATGGAAGGGTATCTGGATACCAAATTAAAAACAAAACAAAAAAATCCCCACAGTGTTATTCTGTCTAAGGAACTGTTCTCTCACAGACACTAAAATATTTCTTGTTAGCTTGGGGAAAAAAAAAAAAAAGAAGAAAAAAAGAAGCATTAAGTACACCAACTACAAACTCATGCATACTTTGCTCTCTTAGAGAGTTATCAAATGTCTCAGTAGTAGTAACCTATCGAAGTCAATCTCAGGTGTAATGCATTTGGTACTGATTTATAGAATACTTTAGACAAAATAAAGTTATCCTTGAAATGACTTTCCAGAATTTTATAACTTCATGGACATAAAAGTATCAAAGATCTTTCCCACAGGACAACCAAAAACATTTACTCTCAGTGTCTGCTTTATTTTTCAGACAGCCTTAGTCTCCAGTGACATCTTGTGGATAAGACATAATTTGCAACAGCAGAAGTCTGGTACTTAAAACATCTTTAGAATACTACAAATACTACCTTCTATTATGAAAAACAGATCAAGTACAATTTTAGTATCTACAATCTACATGTATGAGCAAAGTTTAATGCTTCGTTTATGTTTCAGTAATGTCTCTTGAAAAATTTGCTTGAGTATTACAGGAGACACTGTACCATCAATATGAAGGATCACCTTTTTATTATCTATAAAATGCTTGTCACCATGAGACAGGCAGTGCAGTATTACAAATAATGAGCAAGATCACAGATACATCTTTACTGCTGAATCTTCTAATTTGCAGAAAAGCAAAATGATTTTTTCATTTGAAGGTATCTTTCAACAATGATTACATCTCCCATTTAAGAATCAGACAGGTTCCAGCCTCATTATCACAGAATATCTGAGGTTGGAAGGGACCTCTGCAGGTCATGTTGTCCAAACCCCTGCTCAAGCAGGACCAGCTTTTGAATATCTCCAAGGATGGAGACCTCTTGGTCACCCTCGCAGTAAAAAAAAAAAAAAAAAAAAAAAAAAAAATTCCTGATGTTCAGAGGGAACCTCCTGTGTTTCAGTTTGTGCCCACTGCCTCATGAAGACAGGACTTCTCTGCACTTTATTCAGAATAAAGAACCACTCCAAGAGTCTGTGGTGTTGTGCAGCTGCTGAAAGGTAGCATTCAGAAAATCTAATCAAGAATCACATCAGTGTTTCATTATGTGCACTGCAAATTAAATCTTTACATCTACATGCAATGAAACACAGTTCAAGGTTTTTTAAAAAAAAGAAAGCACAACCCACTGTAATTCAGCTACTAAATTATGAATTCATAATGAGCTTTATATGGATTGGTAAAGACAACGACATAAGGTTGTAGAGAGGTATGAAAGAAAAAGATGAGAATGAAAACAAAGGCATTTATAATATATAAATAATTGAAAAATGTAAAGTATCAGGCTTGATTTTAAAACTGAAATCAGAAGAAAAATACAAGCGAAGGAAAGCAAATTTGCTTTTATCTACTGCAGTACTCACTTAGTGCATGATAAATAGGTTTATGCCTGCCTTCAAGTCTGATTACAGTTGCAGCTGCTATTTTTCCTGGTGGCTGCATCTTCGCATCTAGGAGATACCAGGCTCTGGCAAAAGTAGCCCATTGCTAAAGAGAAAGAGAGGTAGTACTTAACACAATAAAAGAACACACTATGATACATAAATCTAGCTTCTCTAATTAGATCAACACTTTTTTTACACCCCAAAATACTAGAGAAAATATTAATATTCAACCACACCAGCACCCCCCAAATAACTTTTAAACAGATGGAGAACGCCGCTACACACTGCGATACAGCCAGCGCTGTACGTGCTTCCAACATACATAGCAGTAATAACACAACACTGCCAGGTTACCAGCTCCGAGGGTTTTGTTTCAAAAACGAAGATCTCCTGCTGCAAGCTTCCTTTACTGCTGACTGAACTGCCGCAAAACCGCTGCAGGCCGTTTAACGCCCAACATCTGTTTCCCTCTCCGGCGAAGGGCACGGCTCACCCAGACGCCGCTTTAGGAACACGACCGGCCGGAGCCGCCGGCAGCAGGCAGCCTCGTCCCTCGGTCAGTCACACGCCGGCTGACCGACACCGGTTCCTGCCAGCCGGCCCCTCGGGGCCAACACCGCAGCGCACGGGCGCTCCGCGACGAAGGGAAGGAGGAAGGGAGGGAAAGAGGGAAGAAGAGAGGGAAGAAGGAGGGAGGGAAGGAGGCCGCCCGCCGCCCCGGCCCTCCCCTGGGGGCCCACCGTCCTTTCGTCCCGGCGCCCGCC